CAACCTCACTATCATTCATTTCAAATATGACATTGTATATGGCATTGCTTATTAATTCCTGTTTGATTTTCGTTCTTTAAATAAGAACCATTGAATAGGATGTTTTGTTGGCTGTTTATTAGCACGACGAAGTTTTGCTGAACGTTCAGGAGAATATCTGTAGTATCGGTTATTATGTTGAGCCCACATATCTTATTCTAGCTTTCAGACAGCTCAATCTATTCATTCTACCTGAGTCACATTCTGACCTTGCTATTTATTCGCTTACCAGTCGTGATTGATTTCATAGTGAGCGCGTAGGTGTGTGTACATTCCTTACCCCATTACTTATCACATGTATGTAACTTAATTTTGTGTAACTATAAATATTGATTAACGCTTGGTTAAACGGGAGTTGGCTTACACACCATCTCCACTGAGCGTCGTTTTGCTTTGTTCTATTCCATTCACTTTGTATATAAAATATATATATTCGAAAGTCCATTCTCGTTATTCGACTTATTTAATTCCGTTATTGACTAACGCGATTTAAGTCGATGATTATGTACGAGGATAGGCGATAACAAACATTCATACGATCTAATTGGAGTCAGATCCACGGGCTACTAAATTGAAGAGCTCTTTCGACAACATCGTTCGATCTAAACGACGACAAAAAAACGGTCCTCCACATATCCCAAAGTATCTTTCAATTCAATATATATGACCTCAGTAACAATAATGATATTAAACAGAAATTATTCAATGATTGTCTGAACAACTGTCAACTTGATACTGATCGTTCAAATCCACTAGAAATCTGTTGTAACTCAGTAAATTATCATCAACAATGTACCAAGGTAAGTAACGAATAATTTTACTTCTACCTGAAATGTTTAGGTGTGTGTTGGTGTTCCATTTACTTACTTACCTACTTACTTACTCACTTACTTACTTACTTGCTTACTTACTTACTTAAGCCTGCTTCCTCTCATGAAGGGACGTAGTCCGACCACCAGCATTCTCTATCTAACTATGACAATCCTTTCCAGCTCTTTCCAATTGCTATTCACCATTCCTACTTTTGCTTCCAATTCTAGACGTAATGTGTTCTTATAAGCAAAGATGGATCGTGTGTTCTTTGACCTTCCTATTTCTCGTTTCCCATCAGGAGCCCACAATGTATATCCTATCCACTCACAGCGTCTTTTCTTAATTTCTTAATCATCTGGCAGTTGGGTTGTTCTCCTCAACATAAATGAGTTAGTTTCAATTCTTTGAAGAACAAGCTGAGATGATGTCATATGTGGTTAGCTATTTTTGTAATATTATGAAACCTCTCAGTAGTGTGCTCTCTTACAAATTAGGATCTTTGGGTCTCATGGTGAGCACGTCAAGTTTGAACCATTGTACTGACGTCAAACAGATAACATATTCTACTTTGTTGAATGATTTCGACTTAATTAACGCTGAATTTTGGTTTCTAAATGATTGATATAACTGATAGACTAATATTAAATGGTTGAACATTTTACTTGAAATTTGGACTGATACTGGTTTCGGTTATTAAAAAAATTAGAATACAAAATCATGTCTGGCTGTTATTGATGATCAATATATTGTGGGATGAAATTACATTGTTAACCATCAAATTGTTAATTAATACAGATGTCTTGGTCTTAAGGGAAGTTAATTGCCATCGTATTATTTCAATGGTGCCCCATCCCAGCATCTGATATTTGTAAACGCTTTCCGGAAAGGCTGATTGGTCTAGAGACCACTGTCAGGGTTTGCACTATTTAGGCTTTGCTGCACAGTTTAAGTGAGACAGACTCTTTGTGATAAACAAACCTTCCAAATACCCCTGAACTATTCAAATCAAATTGACTTATGCATTTCACAGCGTACACAGCGGCGCAAATGTCTATTTTCAACTAACCCAGTACTCTCAAGTTGAAATTTGCTTCCTCTGAATGTCCTAATAGTTTATCCATTTATAACTGGAAATTGTTGAATATATATCAATAAGATCTCTTAATCAATCATGGTTACTTACATACGGATGGACAAACACTAGAAGCTCTCATTCAGTTCACTCAAACTATCAATGCGGTAAGATAAACTTACAAAAGTATGTTTTTTATTAGTGCGCTAATTTATTGTAAACTGAAAAGACATAAAACAGTGATATTCTTTTTTCAGATAAGAATTCAGATGGCACAATATATTTATGTTCGTATGATAATTACTTAGTTTAGCGGTTCGAATTTAGTAATTTGATTTGAAGATAGTATTTACTGCATGAGTTGGTATTAGCTCAAAACTGTTGAAAACTACAGTACGCTGGACAGTTTTATTGTCATAACTTATCATCACTACCATCCGGTAGATACTCAGTATATTACATAGAATCGAAATTCAAGTCTCATCAATATTCCTTAACATTATTCAATTCACGATACAGCCTAATAATCATTCAATAAAACCGTTCAGTAAGTTGCTCACTGTCAATATAGTTGAACTTCACCACCGTCCAAAACTATCATCACGGTATTTTCTCAAGTCTTCATGTGAATGCACCTGTATAATGTTAAAATCTAAGAATGATATCTAATCATCTGATGTTTATACATCTTCTTCATTCAACCTTCGAAATTTGCGAACTGAACTGTAAATCTTCTCCTTCACCCTATTTATTTAGGAACTTTAATGTAATACTCATTTCATCTATACGACACGCGCTAAACGAGATAAAGATTTTTCAAGATCATGTGGATCCAAACAGTGTTGGACGTAGCATGGGAGGGCTTGTATCCATCCTTGTTTTAAGACTGCTTCACCCACTGTTATCACTCATTAAGATTGGAGGTCACGTAAAAACTGTGACGGCGACCTATCACCCAGTGTTTCTCCTTAGAAAAGCCTTGGGATTCTTTGAATGTCTGATAATGATAAACGGTTCATTATCTTTCGTCTTAAGATGGTGTATGGTTGTAGTGATGGTGGACTTAAAATCAAGTCACGAACTTCTTTGGCGACCGAAGGAGGAAGGATAGAACACAAGGCTCTATAGCGAATTCCTTCAGATTTAACATTGTGTCTCGTGAAATAATGCTCTAGTTGAGCAAACCACAACTCAGGATCACTACGATCAAATTCTGGAAGTCGGGATTTCGTAGTCTATTTCCACTGTTGACAAATCCTCGAGGTTTTTGGTTTGTATTGAGTCTGACATGAGGTATGTGACCAATGTAGTAATAAAATTAGCAAAGAAAATGGTTACTACAACAAGGATACTTCAAGATAAAAAAACTATATGTAAACCCAACTCAGTTCGCTGATAATCAGAAGGTCTAATTTTACGACTAAGTAAAAAAGTTAATATTAATGAAAAAGTGAGGTTGAATTTGTATTCATTACGACTCATCATTTTCGTGCCTCTAGGTGACCCTCTTGCTATAGATAGGAAACAGACAAGTAGTGAAGGCTGCTATTAAACACAACTCGATTTCGTAAACGTGGTAGTCAACTAAGCAACCAATCAGAATGAGGCAGGAATTATTGTACTCGCCATTTTTGTGAGCAGTGGCGGTCTGATCTCCACGTTCTTTGTTTTTTCAGCTATTTTTTGTGTCGCTACAAAATTTAATGTTTCAGTGTACTAAAATGCCGCAGTTACTGTATTGTTCTAAGTGTTGGCGTAACATTTATTTCGATTAAGCATCTTTCTGGGTTTTCGCTGCTACTCAATTCAGTGTATTTCTTCAGGCAAGCTGGCTAGTCTTACGTTATAAAATGTTAATCCGTTTTGTTTTGAGTACTTTTTTTCAGAAGTCGAGAACCGAAATTAGTTTTCCTCGTTAAAATATGTGATACTGCTGCCTTTAGTTAGATCTTCGCGCAGTGGAGCGTGGAAATATTTGTTCAGACAAACAAAGCCTTTCAACATTCATTATAAGATAATACGAAATATAACGCCTATACGAAATAAGGAAGTGAATGGACACTTGAACTATAATGTTTTGACATATACTTAGTTGTTTCAGGTGAACTCTTAATCAACCAACCTAAGCTGTTACAAGGATTCCTGATGTTGTAAGCTCAACTTTGGTATTTAGACAGAATGCTCAGAGCCAATACTTTTTACACAACACCAATAAAATGGAGCAAAACCAATCGACTGAAACTTGATTCCAGTTTACCATATAAAACAATATGTACTACACCAAAGAAAAAATATCGCAACTATTGAAAACATCAATGAAAGTTAATTCTTAGTACCGAAATCATGATTGCTTCAAGACTAAATTATTAATTTACTTAATTGATAATTTGTAAAAAGACGTAGTCAAAGAGATTGAAGGGGAACGGAGATTATAATAAAGAAGACAGGAAGTAGCTACTGGTTATGCGCTAATGATAGCCGTTTTAATTTATGAGATATGCACCAGACATAGCTAGTCTAAGAGGAGGGTGGTAACCTGCAGGTGAGTACATGTTTGCCAAGGTTTTTCTAAAAACTATCCGATTTAAGTGGCTTGTATCGGTCAAATGATTGGACCTATCGACTAGAGTAATCTGACCTACTAGTCAGGGTCACTAGTCATTAGTGGAATATACTTCATCTTAGTTATGTCCGCAAGCTACGATGAACTCTGCTGCATTCATACAAATTATCAATCAAGTAAATTAATTATTTAGTCTTGGAACAATCATCTCTTAGTACCCGAGTTATCAATTTACTGTTTCAATATTACAACGAACCAGCCTCCTGCCTGGTAATGCGATATCTCATAGTATTCAGAATCCCTAATATCTTGAGACAAATGTACTCGCGCAACTATAAGATATGCAAATCCATAAATGACTATCACTAGGATAAGTCCAGTCGATTAGCTAGCCTACCGCCTATTGAATACTATCATATACTTGAAACGATACCAAAACAATAAGAAGTGAGAGCAAAGAAAACAATTGTTCTACACCAGCCCGTACTAAGATATTGGATACTGTACATATTTGAATTGGTGTCTCGATTTCGGGCTGTTGGCGTCTCTTCAAAAAGCGAGTTTGTTGCTTGTTTGCCAGTCAGGTGTTTAATAAGATGTATTAGATTTCTTATCGGCCTGCTCTCAATGATGTATTAATTATTTCTTGTGTCCCTTATACGGTTTCGGGGTAGCTTTGTTGTGACGAACTAGTACGCTCTGACACACATATTAACTAAACTGGTTTTTAAGATTATATCAATGGTGTTAGTACTAAAAATTAACTTTCATTGATGTTTCCAATAGTTGCGATATTTTTTCTTATATCGGATCAGTGTCATACCGTGAACTATTAATGTTTACCCATTAGCTACCAAACTCATGACGTTAAGGCCAGATACATCTACCAAATCTTACGATAGTAAGATTCCCAATTTAATTATCGCCGTTATTTGGCATTTTGAAGCTGATCACTCCTATTCTTTATGAAGCATATTTTGTTTGAAAGTTGTACTCTAGGTTTTCGACACTCACACTCAACTGGGGTTCGAAGTCGTCGGTAGTTTTTAACAAGGTTAATAGTGTACCAAAGCCCTGTTTTCTAGCAGCTATAAAATACATTGCTGATTGGGAAAGCGGGAAATTTGTAGGGGTCAACTCCAAGTGCTGAATATACATGTTAGGTTGAGGTCCGATGCATCATGACTGGTTGAGTAGAAAGTCTTACGGATATCTGGTTCGAAATAACCAGGTTTGATTAAAAAAACTGACTCATTTGTGGTTCGGCAACATTTATTTTGTTTACTCTGAAAACAAGCTAACAGAGATGCACAAACTCCGCTTGTTTTATTTGTTTTTCTACTCTTATTAAGTGTAGTACATATTGTTTTATATGGTAAACTGGAATCAAGTTTCAGTCGATTGGTTTTGCTCCATTTTATTGGTGTTGTGTAAAAAGTATTGGCTCTGAGCATTCTGTCTAAATACCAAATGTGAGCTTACGACATCAGGAACGCTTATGGTTTAATGGTATTTCAAATTTTAGATGACTGAAAGTCGTTTTCCGACTGATAAAAGAATTGTTTACATCTCTCCTAAAGAGCTTTCCAGTCTGCCAACAGATGGACCGATTTATGTACTATCAACTACAGAAAACCCAGAACCCAACCATTTAGCAAGTTGTAGTTCAACTCAACTTGGTGCATCTAGCCAGGATTCATCTTCGATCACTTGTTCAGCGTTTTGTTCAACTTCAACTTCATCTACCAACAGTTCAAATTATTTTAATAACACATTGGTTCCATATTCATTCCCTTATCATGCTAACATTCCATATCCTACTCCTGTTGTTTCAACAAACTTAATTCTTCCTTATGGATTCTGCCCTCCTTTTCAACTTCCACATTTTGTCGGTTCACAACCAGTTTCATGGGTAACACCTGCTTTCCCGAACCACACTTTATATCCCCCAAGTGCCAATTTATTCCCAGCATCTGGTCAATACATTCACCCCTACCAAAATCTCCCTACTTTCCAACCGAATGTCCCATCAAATTCATACTTCCAAACATTCAATCCTCACAAACCGCCTCCGTCTTTCAGTTTACCTCAGGTAACTTCGAAGTCCAGCAACACCGTTCTCATTCCTAATTCTGCTGCAGTTTTTACTATTAATAATACCGTTACATGTGTCGCGAGTGCTATGAATACTAACAATACTAAACATTCTTGTTCATTCAATCGATCAAACGAAGAAAATGGGTATGCGCATCTATCTTATTTTAAATAAAATTTTTACTATGCTACTAGATATTACAAATCAACTGACTAGTTATTTACTTGGCTTAGTTATTTATGACAACCCTTTCTCCAAAACCTATTGCCTGTTTAACCTGGTGCTCTTTTGTTGACGTAAGATAAAATCATAAGTGAGATTTGTCTCAATATTGTTAGAAGAGGAACTGGATTGTAACTCAGTCATATGTACTTCTAACTATTTCGAAATATATTCCCATCCTATTTTATTTTATGCAGTTTGGTAGTATCCCTAATGTTTTATTTTATTTGAACACAAATATTGATACAAAGGGGCGCCGCATACATGTCGCCACACAAGTCACTTGGTTTGTGCGTGAGCCATGATACTGCCCGGGTGTCCAGACCGAAGCAGGTAGCTCTCTTAGGGGGCCACACCCAGAGCCTTCGACTTAAGGATCTGGTTCACAAGCCAGTGGAGAAACGTCAGGAAATGCATTTCCATGGTGGCCGGTGACTAATGATTGGTTCATACTCTATTTGTTCTCTCAGGATACTGGAGCCAGCCCATGCTCACCATTGGTTTAGGATGAGGGTTTTTCAACTCCCCTAGGTGGACCCTCCGTGTTCATGAACCCAGTTAATGAACTGGACATGCGCTTTTCGTCCTCTCACTTTCGTAAATGACACCGCCACGAGAAGGCAGTGAGTAATACTTTTCTGGCAGTGGTTGTATACACGTAGCCATGTAAGAGTATTTCTAGAGGGAGAGCTAACCCTACCCACCCTCGACCGTACCGGGGCATTTGGGGTCTGTTAAAAGTATGGGGGTCGTAATCTATTTCTCGTGGTTGTACGAGATTAATATGCTTTATTCCTTAATCTGGAAGGCAAAATGTCATGATTAGTGCTATGTGGGAACAAAACGTTTTCCAGTATATTGTACTTAGCTACTATTGAAAATTATTCATTTTATTTTGTCAAAATAAAATCAAAAACATAATAATATTTCATCCTCACGCTCACATTTTGAGAGTTTTTTAAGTTGTTCAACTACATTTTGAAATACCAGTTAAAAAGTTACTTGACTTTTTTTCTAAATTTTTCTTTGCCTTCTACTTTCTTGTCTTTCAACAGATTTTCAGAACCGAATAACTCGAAAAGTGAATCAACGTCATCAAAACAATCGCATCCTCTACGGTATACCAAACTGATCTACGCTTCGGAACTTGATTACTTTGCTTTTGACAATAGTGTAAGTAATTTTTTATTCCTTAGTAAGACAGTAAATTATCAAGTAGCATGCATATTTTGTGCTCATTTTCGTGGTAATACATACTGTTGTCTTATAAATTAGTCACTAAAAGGTGAGCAATGCCGTTTTTAAATTCTTTGTATTGTACAAATTTCAATAAACAAATAACTCAGTATATTTACTTGAATGTGTAGTATAATAATGCAATGTTCTGAATTATACGCTGGATATTTAAAGGTAACCTGTATAGTCTCAAATCTAGTTCTCGTGCTTCCTTTTGTCACGTACTTTGTCATGTACCTATATATATATATATATATATATATATATATATATGGTGCCCCGTTATACCAATGTTTGTGTTCAAATAAATAAAATATGGTCTGTCCTGATGAGAATCATGTTCTTTCCAATTTTCAAACACATTTTGTTAAGAGAAATTATTATTTAGCTATTAATGCTTATCGTTTCTACAGTAAAAATTATATGATGTATATTACGTAACTAAAAGAAAATCAAAAGGTTATAACCTGAATAACTCAACTTTTCATCTGTAACTTTATTGTCTATTAGATGATAGGTAAATTCCCTGTAGCAGAATGTATTGGATACTGTTTTGTCTGAAGTTTGCGTTCATTTACTGCGTAATTCAACTTCATTTCAAACATGTTTATTCATTCACCTCTAAGCTCAATAGTAACCCTACATCTAAGACGCTAGGACTGACTAATTGAGAAATATAAGTATCACGTTCAAAACGATTTTTCGAGACGTCTTATCATATATTGTAATGAGAATCTGTTTCATTGGCTTACGCTGAATATAATTATGTCCTAAGTTTTCTATCTCAAGTCTAAGAGACGAAACGATGCTTTGTATAATAGAGCATCAAGATAGACATCATTTAAAGTTAATTGATCATATCGGAAAGAAATAGAAGAGGAAAGCATATGATATAATAAGCAAGAATAATAATTGTTAAAGGAGGCTGTTCAAATTAGTGTACAACGAAGATAGATTATGCTCATTTACAAGATGCATCATACTATTCTAAATCAATGAAAATTGAATTGACTCATTCACTGGGTACTTGAGTATGAATCACATTCTAAGTTTTAGGGTTAATGTTACTACCCGGTTGCCGAAATAGAAGTGGAACGGCGCCCGAACCTGGGACATAGTGGCTACAAATTGAACACCTTCACCACTAAGTCATCGCCTCAAGTCATACGATTTATAAGAAATCTAGTGAAAAATTGGCAAAAGATAGGTATTGGTTTTTGTTTTTCGTTATGTTTGATAAAATTTGAAGCCAGTGAATCATGTGACCGCCTAAATCCTATCCACGGAGTCGTAATGAGGTAACAGTCGCCAACACAACTATCCTTTATTGTATAAAACCATATTACATACTTTCTATTTCCGCTCTTTTTTACATATTTCCAGCATTAGAAATTAATATGCGGTATAAAAGACACCGAGATGATATACGTAGGACACTCTTACATTACTAAAGTTAATGTTTCTTGAAAGATAAACTCACTTAGTCATCACTTTCACTATGTCGAACCTCAATATTACGTCCACGGTGTTGTTACCGAACAGAAGGATTATTCTTCATAGATAACTGTGATCGCATTCATATGGTTTTCTAGCATTCTTAACTTAAAGGCCTTGGTTTTACATGTATGTATCAGTACTGCCTTTACGATAGTGTTAAGCACCCGATCTTTTATTGGTCAAACTAATATCAAAAATGTATAGAAGATGGCCTAAAGTGACATAAACGACTTTTGGTTTGTAATTTGCTTGGAATAATCTTATATATCACGCCTTCACCAACAATCACACAACAACTTAAATCAGTCAGTCAGCTACAACGTAGGACCAAGCACATATATGCATCGGTCCAAGTTGCCATACCTCATTAAGACAACAAGATGGACACCGGATTCATAAAGTAGTTAATTCAGAGGTGGTAATATATAAAAGAAAGATTGCAATAAGGATATAGTACAGGAAGAAAGAATTAGTTCGTAGAAGGAAAGATATGAAGTGATTTTAATCTCTTAATTTAAGGAAGACAGAGAGTGTATGCACCGACGCCATTGTGATCGATTCTCAGCCATGTCACCAAGAGTCTCCAACCATCGGTTACGAAAGTCACGCGGACCCCAACCAAGTAGTCTGCATCTGCCAACATGGCTCAGATTAGAAGTTAGTGACTTCAAGCACTGATGCCACGTTTTGGTTTGCCCGCCCCTAACTTTCCTCCAACCATCTCCAACACCGGTTAGCATTGCACGTCGTGGTAATCGGTGTTCGGGCATACGTAACACGTGGCCCAACCATCTCAGTCGATGAATATTCACAACTCCATCAACTGAGTTACCATCGTTCCCTAATACCCAGCGTCTAACCTCACTATTATTTACCCGGTGATCCCAGCAGATGCCAGTAATATTTCTAGGGCATCTGTGGTCAAATACTAGTAGCTTAAAAGTGTCTTCTACTCCTAATATGGCCATATTTCGCTGCCGTAAAGTAAAATAAAACGGACTGCCGCGCAGTATACTCGTCCTTTTATTGATAGACAGATATCTCGCCTTCGTCATAGGTGACGTAAGTTGGCAAAAGCCAAACGAGCTTTTCGAATCCGTGCTGAGATTTCGTCAGACACCAATCCATTAGGGCTGATCAGACTTCCAAGATAAGTGAAGTTGTCAACGCGTTCGACTACTTCACTCTCTAGATGAAGAGAAGCACATTTCGAACATTCTGGCATTGTTGCGTAGTGCTACCAAAAGGCTTCTTTTTATCAGCCTATTCACCAAATGGAACTATGTCATCTGCGTATTGCAAGTCGATAAGCGGACCTCCTGAAAGGAGATCAATACCCGAGAATTTAGTAGACGAGAATGTTATTTCCATCAGTAGGTCTATGATGAAGTTAAACAGAAATGGAGAAAGTGGACAGCCTTGACGGACACCACTTGAGATTGCGAAAGGAGATGACAGTTCGTCATAAGCTCTGACTCGACTAGTAGTGTTGAAGTAAAGAACCTTCACAAGGTTTATGTACTTCTGAGGTACGACAGACACTTCCACATAATCTTGCGGTCTACGGAGTCAAATGCTGCTTTTAAGTCAAGAAAGACCACCATCGTCGGATGCCGATAAGTATGCCTATGTTCTAAAACCTGACGAATGGTGAATATGTGGTCGATGCAGCCACGACCAGGTCTGAAGCCAGCTTGATTCTCTCGTGTTTGCAGTTCACGAGTCATAGTTAGGCGTCCCATAATTATCGAGGCTAGTATTTTAGATGCTATATTAGTCAAACTAATCCCTCTATGGTTGTCACGGGATGATCTTGACCCTCTCTTATATATTGAGATGACAAGTGATTGTGACCAGTCAGATGAGATAACGTCTAACTCCCAGATCTTAGCTAAAATATTAGTCAATCTAACCGCTAAAATTGGACCACCATTCTTAAAGACTTCTGGAGCCGATCCATCTGGACCAGCTGCTCTTCCTCGTTTCAGATTAACTATAGCCTTTTGAACTTCAGCAAGAGTTGGGGGACCTACTTCAATGTTCCATTCACACTGTTTGGGAATGGAGGGTAGTTGTAGAGTCGTTGAAGGCCAACTGAACTGTTCTTTTAAATGTTCTGCCCATCATTCTAAGCGTCTGGACTGGGAGCAAATGAGAGTGTCTTCTTTTTCCGAAATTGTCTGACTTACACTTGACTTATTTATTGGTGGAACCTACTTTTAGTTTTCTTGCTACTCAATTCAGTTCTAATGGGTCTTTTTAATGTGGCTTTTTGCGTCCAGTGAGGCGCAAGCAGATGCGTGCCCGTATTAGGGCATGGTCGGAGTCCAAGCAGGTACTCCAGAATGAGCGACAATCTTCTACCGACCCTCTCCAACGATGACTGATGGCAATATGGTCTATTTGAGTCCATCGTTGGTTTGGTGTAGGTGGTCGCCATGTTAGACGATGTCTCTCTCTCCTTATGCTTAAAATTTGTGTTTGCTAAAAATAAACGATTGTCTGAGCATAGTTGCAGCAGACGATCACCATTATCTGTTCGTTGTGCCGTAATACTAAAATACCCACCTAAATGCCTTTATGTTTGGTTTAAACTACCTATCTGGGCATTAAAGTCACCTGCTTCGAATACTATGTCTGAACGTTTAGCTTTCTGAAGAAGTTCAGATAACTTTCTGTAAAATTCATCTTTCACTTCATCTATGTGCATTCAGCAAATTGGTCATAGGAGGCACAATATTTCCACACAAGCGTATACACAAGGCTACATGGATCTCACCGGACCACACTACAGAGAACCAAATAGATCATATTTGCATCAACAAAAAATTCCGAAGGACAATGGAAGATGTGAGAACCAGGAGAGGTGCTGACGTAGCTTCAGGTCACCACCTAGTTGTGGCCAATTTAAAACTGAAGCTAAAAAAGAACTGGACAAGTGGACAAACAGCACTACAAAGGTTCAATACAGCCTTCCTTCGAGATACTGACAAATTCAATTCAAGATAGCTCTCAACAACAGGTTCCAAGCCTTACAAGATCTACTGAAAGAAGAAGAAACTAGTATGGAGGACAACTGGAAAGGTATCAAGGAAGCATTAACTTCAACGTGTCAAGAGGTTCTGGGTCTAAAGAAATACCATCATAAGGAATGGATCTCTACCGAAACACTGGACAAGATCAAAGAAAGGAAGAACAAGAAGACAGCAATTAACAACAGCCGAACACGAGCAGAGAAAGTCCAAGCACAAGCTGATTACAAAGAAGCAAACAAGAAAGTGAGGAAGAGCATTAGAGCCGACAAGAAGAAATACGTGGAAGAACTAGCAACGACGGCAGAAAAAGCTGCTAGAGAAGGAAATATGAAACAGCTTTACGATACAACGAAGAAACTAGCAGGAAAATACAGTAAACCAGAGAGACCGGTCAAAGACAAAGAAGGCAAGGCAATCACCGAAATTCAACAACAGCGAAACAGATGGGTAGAATACTTCGAGGAACTCCTGAATAGGCCGGCTCCAATGAATCCACCGGATATCGAAGCAGCACACATAGATCTTCCTATAGATGTCAACCCACCAACGACGGAAGAAATTAGAATGGCCGTCAGACAAATCAAGATACGGGAAAGCAGCAGGACCCGACAACATACCAGCTGAAGCACTGAAATCAGACATCGAAGCAACCACAAGCATGCTTTACCTTCTATTCAAAAAGATTTAGGAGGAGGAACAAGTGCCGATGGACTGGAAAGAAGGACACCTCGTCAAGATTCCAAAGAAAGGAGATCTGAGCAAATGTGAAAACTACAGAGGCATTACACTATTGTCAATACCAGGGGGTCTTCAACAGAGTGTTGCTGAACCGGATGAAGGATGCAATAGACGCCCAACTTCGAGATCAACAAGCTGGATTCCGTAAGGATCGGTCGTGCACAGACCAAATTGCAACACTACGGATCATCGTCGAACAATCAGTTGAGTGGAACTCGTCACTATACATCAACTTCATTGATTATGAAAAGGCATTTGACAGTGTGGATAGGAGGACGTTATGGAAACTTCTTCGACACTACGGAGTTCCTGAGAAGATTGTCAACATTATTCGGAACTCATACGACGGACTACAGTGCAAAGTCGTGCATGGAGGACAGCTGACAGATGCATTCCAAGTAAGGACCGGAGTCAGACAAGGCTGTTTACTCTCTCCCTTCCTCTTTCTTCTGGTGGTCGACTGAATCATGAAGACCTCGACATCTGAAGGAAAACACGGGATTCAATGGACAGCTCGAAATCAGTTAGACGATTTGGACTTCGCAGATGACCTAGCCCTCCTGTCACGTACACACGAACAGATGCAGATAAAGACAGTCAGTGTGGCAGCAGTCTGCATCAGTAGGCCTCAGCATACACAAAGGGAAAACCAAAGTCCTCAAATTCAAAGCGGAAAACAACAATCCAATCACTCTTGATGGCGAAACTCTGGAAAATGTAGAGTCCTTCACATACCTGGGAAGCATCATCGATGAACAAGGAGGTTCAGATGCAGACGTAAAGGCGAGGATCGGCAAAGCAAGGGGCGTATTCCTACAATTGAAGAACATATGGAACCCAAAACTTTCAACCAATATCAAAGTGAGAATCTTCAATACGAACGTCAAGGCAGTTCTACTGTATGGAGCTGAAACTTGGAGAACTACAACATCCACAATCAAAAAAGTACAAGTATTTATAAATAGCTGTCTACGCAAGATACTCAACATCCATTGGCCGGATACCACCACCAATAGCCCTCTGTGGGAGAGAACAAACCAACTTCCAGCTGAAGAAGAAATTAGGAAAAGACGATGGAAATGGATAGGACATACATTACGGAAATCGTCAAACTGCATCACGAGGCAAGCCCTAACTTGGAATCCTGAAGGGAAGCGGAAAAGAGGAAGGCCTAAGAACACATTGCGTCGGATAATAGCAGCACATGAAAACGATGAATTACAACTGGACGGAACTAGAAAGGATTGCCCAGGACAGGGTTGGATGGAGAATGCTGGTGAGCGGCCTATGCTCCTTCACGAGGAGTAACAGGCGTAAGTAAGTAAGTACTTCATCTGAGCTGCTTAAATACATAAACATATTGACTATTTCCCGCTCCTTAATGCGATGGAGCTAGTATACATGGCGGCTCTTCTTAGCCTTGTAAAATTTCTTGACAATCCAACAGTACAAAATAGATGTGGTGCTTATTTTCATACAATGACTCAAATGTCCCATATAGAGGCTAATGTCCTCAATATCTGACTCCAATAATATCCCGTAAACTGAGTATTTAAGGTAAGCTTAATCTCCTAGTAGAACTACGGATTTACTCGAGATTATTGAAAAGCCTGAACACCAGTTGTAGAGATAATTTATTGTTAATGATTAATAAAAATCCGCAAGCGTACAGCAAGCAAGCACACGGTGAAGTCAAGTAAAAATGATGCGTAGCGGAGATGGCTGGTAAGCTAACTCCCCATTAGTCAAGCGTTACTCAATATTTATAGTCAGACAAAATAAAGCTACAGACATGTGATTAATGGGATAAGAAAGACACACACATATACGCTCATAGAAAAACAGTCTAGATTGATAAGCGAATAAATAACAAGGTCAAAGTATGGCTCAAGTAGAATGAATAGAATGGGATGTTCGAAAGCTAGAATAAGGTATATGGGCTTAAAATAACGACTGACACTACACCCACATACGAGACGATTTTTATGTTATCTCTGACTATTCTACTGGAAAATAAGTCCATGTTATCCGATAGCATGTGTATTAGATTATTTTTTTCCAGATATTTTACGTTTGAAGTAAAAAGAACCATAAGTGTCAACAATAATACGTTCAGGCATAAAATGATGTTTATAATTTGAAACGAAATAAATGGATCTATTATAGAGCGGGATCTTATGGTTCGATTGAAGGATTTTCGCTTATCAAAATCGATGAGTAGAATGGTGTTCGAGATTTGGTATGTCACGATACGGTGTTTCTGAGTGATGGTTACTCACACAACTGAATTATTGGTGTAAGCCCCCAGAATGATTTGAGATAAAAAGCAAGACCACTTACCAAAAGCATAGGCTTCCTTTGTGTAGCAAAGTGATATACTTATGTAAAAAATATTGATACAAAAAAACGACATGGTAAAATGTTATAGGCGATTGGATAAACTCAGCTGGTAGGTCACTTACTCTCTAATCAATTAAGTCCTGATTGTTTGACCTAATTCTAAACCATCATATCAAGATCTGTCTGATCCAATATGATGATCAATAAATTTTTTATCAACACTTTCAATAACTAATTCTTCATTACGTTCAATACCTCAACTAGAAAAAGAATTCCATCGGTTAATAAAAAAAGACCCGTGTGAGTAACATCATGAACGTCCATACTCACATATATACATTAGGGGAATATCTCGTATTGTTGTGTATATTAATAACATCCATGTTATCTACGCTTTCAAGTACGAATTTATTTACTCAACTTTGAGCCACCGTTTGTGTTAGGGTTATTGGTACTGTTACTGCTACTACTAACACTACTAATACTAGTACTAACGCTAATACTACTACTACTACATGTCTGTACGAATTTGAGTAGTTGGTGTGGGGTGCGGACCTGCTACTTGTTAGTTAAAAATTAGGTGTTTTAATAATCAAATCACTGATTTATACGTCAGATAAATAATTTGAGTGTGTAGAAAAACAATGTCATTTAAATAAATCAACCAATTAACCTTTCCCAATCAGTTCGTTAACATAGAAATATACTATGCCCACTGACTACCGAACACTTATTATACTTGGACTACTGTTTTATTTTATTTTCAAATAGACTGGGTCGTATGTAGCTACACGTAAACTTATTGATTTGGAAGATCGATTTGAAAATGAGGTGATCGCTCGACGTCATCGTGCTACTTTAAATGATCCAATAAGACAGCCTCCTGAACGTCCTGCATTGTCGGATAGTGGTGAGTAGTAGTAAACTCTACTTTTTTGTTTATGGCATAGCTCCAGTCAAACAGAACAAAGTAAATTGTTTCGGAAGAAACAGATTGAGTGTGCGGGTTTTATTGGGTCCCACGTGATCGAGCCAAAATAATAGAAAAGCAGTACTATGGTCTATCTCCCTAGTTCGATTATCGATTAGTTCATCTATAATTCAAGTAGGACCGGTGAACGTCTTATTTTTTGATTAACAGCGATCAACAAACAAAACCCAAAATCTTAACGTTTATTGTTCCTCAAGTTGTGTCCAACCTGGTGTCCAATTAGACGAGGAAGACAGAAAGCAAATCATTTTGTCGTTGTACTTAATCAAATTATAATTCAAAACTCAAACAACATACCTGGAATCTCTGACTATATAGCAACACGATTAGCAAATTACGATTCGTACATAACTTGGTTATAAGTGATACATGACTAGAGTAATAGGGAAATAACCAAGTAATGGTAAATCTGGAATAGTAAGACATGGCAAGGATTTATAACTCAAACGAAAGCTTAGAACCAGGGAAATTAAAGAAAATACAGTAGTCTAAACATTCGACAATCATACAGTAAAAATATAAATATTTATTCCTCGTATATTAGCCTCAAAAGTTATATTTCTTCACTATTCATTCCATTCGGGGTGTGGCCCCTTAAGAAAACCACCTGCTTCGGTCTGGGTACCCGGGCAGTATCACAGCCCTCACACAAATCGAATGATTTGTGTGGCGCATATCTATTTGGTGTCTCCTTGTACCAGTATCTATGTGTTATAATAAATAATAAATAAATTCATTCCATTATATCACAATTATTTTCAAGAAATAGTTTCTCGACGATAATCAGTACAATTTTGAAGTCTAAAGTAAGTAAGATAATTTTTCTCAATAGACTAGATGGAACAGTACCGTTAGGTGCCTTAGTTAATATTAAATAGATGGGGTTAAGTGATGCAGTTTTATTAAATCTAAATGTGGACGGGATTAGGCGAGAAATACAGTTAGTTTGTTGTATAATCCCACGGAATGAAATATAGCTATATATGGTTGGGATTTCCCGATCTGTTGTTACTTTTTGGGTGGGATCTTAAGGGTTATGCAGTCCAGTGGCTTGAGATTCTAGCTTCTTGGGACACTCTTAAAAAACACTAACACAAAACATGTGTTAAGAGTTCTCTTGTGTGATTTCTGCTAACGACCTAACAGATAAATAATTCTTAGAGTATATATTCTAAAATAATATCGTCTATTTGTCCGAGCGGCCGATTTTCAATAATTGGTGCAATGTTTCGCCTTCTTCTACTTCTGCTTGAATAGCTAGTTATCGACTTTCAAAAACCATAGGTGCTATTTGAATGAAGGTATAGAAACCTATCTTTTGTTGTGCTGAATAGACATACCGCTTTGAGTGTAACTTTACCCCCCCCCATCAAATGTAGCTCATCAAAACACCTCGGATAGAGTTCTAGGGATCGTAAAACTCAGTGTCTCGAGAAGTTATAAAACAAGACTTATAAAAGTCTGGCAATCTTATTCTAGTGTATAAATCCGTATTTGTTTGTGAATTCCAGTTGATACTATTGTTTAAAACAAAATGGGGAGTCGTAGTGTAGTGGACGCTATTCACAAAACTGCCTGTAAGTAGTGTCTTGCGGAACGTTGCCTCAAAGTTGTTGATGGAGTAAAGAGTTTCAGTACATTGAAAGCACAGGGTTAGCAGAACACTTGGAGACCAGTTGATAAAACTGTTCAGATTCCAGAATACACCGAAAGATGTAAAAGGACGATTGAAGGCTATGTATACGTATAATGTAAATGGTCTGTAACTTCTCACAATAAATATAAATTCCTTCTGTATATTACCTTCCTTTACAATAGCGGTCGATGCAAATTAATTACACAGTTACTTCACAGTCTCATTGCATCAATTGTATAGCTACGTAAATTGTTATGAATTAAACTTTGGTAAACTTGGTCAAGATAAATTTAGATGGCATAGTATCTATTTCATCTGGTCAGTTGGTTAATTATACACATCTATTTATTGTCTATTTATTTATTAACAGAGCATCGACGTAATTCCCGTACTTCACATCTTCATCGTTCGAAAAAGTCGACCCACAAATGTGATACAGTGAATTCAATGTTTGATAATAATTCCGATAATGATGATGACTACTTGGCGGCTATCGGTGATAACGCAGAAACTTCAAAAGAAGTTTGTTTATCGACTGAATCTAGAAATAAGGTGTTCTTAATTGATTGTTGTAACACTTATTGATATTTTTTATCATTGATGATGTTATTTTGTAAATAATAATATATACATTTGATGCTCGCATCCTATTCGTCAGCAATGGTTTAGACTGAAAATGATAAGGCTTAAAGATGTTTACATGCAATTGAATTATTCAAGTAAATGGATTGGTGGCATTCAGTAGTAAAAGAATTCGTTTTTCATCTATTAGGTTATTAATTTAAACTATTCTTCATTTCGATTCTTATAGACGGATTATAGTATTATTGCCCTTCTCACTAACAGTACTGCTCAAAGTTTATAAGTTTATGAGTATCGACACGACATCTATGGTGCATTTTAATTGGCCGACATCCTATGTATCGCTTACTTACTTACTTTACTTACGCCTGTTACTCCCAATGGAGCATAGGCCGCCGACCAGCATTCTCCAACCCACTCTGTCCTGGGCCTCCTTTTCTAATTCCATCCAATTCTTGTTCATCTTTCTCATGTCTATTTCCATTTCTCGGCGTAATGTGTTCTTTGGTATGTATCGCAGAACCCAACAATAAGGTTAATCATCATAGCTAGTTCTCGTCAGAGACTGTCAGTATTAAACCAGGAAACATTGGATAGCAATTTTTTTGTAGTTCAAGATTGCTTCTCTGTATTTCAATTTTAGACGTGATTCCAGGACACTTAGTAAGGAAAATATCTCTACACTAATGAGTGCGATTCTAATGGCTTACATTTTAAACTGCAGTCAATTTTCGATAAACCTCAATCATCATCCATTCTTATCTGTAATAAGTGTCTCATTCTCAATATGATTTATTTTGATTGATGATAAAGGCTTCATTATAATAACCGGGATCTCTCAGTTACTGGTTGTGGTGGTTTGGTTAGGACATGCATCATGTGTCCCCAGCCACTCTCAACTATGACACGGTGTGTTTCTTGGCGTAGTAGTAAGTTGAAATAAAATAACTCACGTACTGGTAACTTCTTTCAGTACATATCCCATCTCTTTTACAAAAGCACACTTTACTCGATTCCATGCTAATAATTGTTTTTTATATTGCTTTAAATTACAGAACTTATCTATCGATCATACAAAACACTCAAAATCATCACCATCATCATCTAAATCTCATCATCATTTACGTAAACATAAAGTCAATAATTATGAATCTATTTGTGCATCTAATAATAGTATTAGTAACACGAGTAATAATAGCATTTTAAATTCTGATTATCACACTGTCAATGGCCATTCCATAGGTCAACGTAGTATAAGACAACAGCGTGAAGTCGCTTATAAAATTGAACATCCTAATCGTTTACATCCTGATATTTGGCATAATGAAGCTAACGAGTTCAATGATGGTCCAGCTTGTTCTTGTAAACCGAAGTATCGTATTGGACCATTACACAATCAATACGAAGGTGAACAGGTAATGTCAATATAAATTCTTTTGTACTATACGGTTATACTAATCATAATGATATAGATCATAAATGTCTATGTCATATTTTTGTTGTATTGAGAAGGGTCATATATATTTTACTGTCCATGTAATAATTGTCTTGTTTTTTTCCGAATTTACGACCAAGAATAATAGTATTCGTCCAGTAGTAAGGAATCACTAAAGGGCGAGTTCAGTGGTTAGAGATTTCGACTTTCAACCACTAATTCAAAGGTTTGTACCCCATCCAACGTACTTCGGTCCTGGTAACCGGATAGTATCACTAGCCGTCAATACCATTTACATGAATCTGTACGTTCTAAATGAGTCAATTGAAAAATCATTCGCCAAGGATGAATATTAAAGACCACAAAACCATCACTAGGTCTTTGTTTCTTAATTTGTCATTCCTGACTACTTTGGCTTGATTTTTAAAAAAACTCTTCTCTGTGTTTGATGCGATTATATGTAGGAACCTTGACTGATTGAAGTTTTTTTCCAGATTCCACTACTTTGTTTATTGTCGATTGATTTCTAATAAAGCAGTTGCACATGACTAAATTTTACGTCATCTTCAGACAATTTTTCCCATTTATAAATTCGAATAAGATAATAACAACGATCTCTGTAGAATAATATGAATTCACTAACTTCGTAAATTCTCGACTACTTACAACCTAGAAATAGTTGTATTGATGATCTACAAGCCGTGTACATAATTTATACTATAATTTCAGAAAGAATAAGGTGAATAATGTCGAAGAAAATGCATGGTAACATTTCACAGAAAAAAATAACTTTAAAAATTACGCAGCAACCATTACAAAAAAGGTTTGATTAGAGGAATAAAGTGAGTAGGTCCGAATGAAAAAAATAAACTTATTACTGAGACCCAAACATGAGAAGCTACCCAACTAAGTGTTAGGTTAGATAGTAACACCACTGGTTGCCTGCTCAGTGGTCTAGATGTTAAGCGTTCGAGCGAGGCTGAGGGTCCTTGGTTTGAGTCTCACGTGTGGGACCGTAGATGAGTATTTCTAAGGAACCCCACACTGGAACTAAGCGACCTCTAATACTTCCAGGTTTCCAATGATGATCTAGCATTAATCGGTTCATGATCTCAATGGGTGTTGGGAACTGTGGTCACTAGGGCAATGCTAAACCGACAACAGTATCCTTTCGAATGCATAAGTCCAGTTTAAGCCTTTTGACAGCAATAGTTTAGCTGAATTGCAATGAATTCAAAGTTCTCACTGATTATTTTTAAAGGATTTTACAAATGATTTATTATTGAGTATTGACCAATAGCATGACTGTTTGGTTCTTTTAGTCTTGATCGCATCCTCGCGATGATTTCGAAATATCAGTGTCGTACCCACTATTGAGTAGATTAGAGGTGACTGCACTGTTCAAAGTGGGTCATTTTATTAGTCTCGATTTTTGCGAAATGTACTCGGTTTAGGAAATTGAATAGTAGGGTGTCAGCACTAACCCTTAAATAATTATTGATCAATGCCCAGTGCAATCACCTATAGTTTGTAAATAAATTACTTTTATTCTCCTTATATTTGACTTTGAATCCTACTGGTCTGTAGGTTCATAATTCATTTCGATCACTTTGGTTCATCCATTTGACTAGTATTAATAGCTATCTCCTACTCACGCACGCAAAGTATGGTTGTTCTTGATTTATCCAATTACATTATCAATTAAAGTTAATCTGAGTATAAACGCTCGAAATATTATAATTACCCAATTATTTAAGAAAAAAACCCTATTTCAGAATTCAAATACGCTAACAGAAACTGATCAATATTTATTTCTAAGTATCAACAAATAAACATATATGTTGTTACCTAATAACCTCTCGACTTAGTAGCTTAGTGGACGATGACATCGTTTAAAGTTATATATACTGTATTGGAGTCCCTTCCTGAACACATACTGGGATGTGACAGGTATATCCAGCTAGTGACGAAACTTGTGTCCTAGATTCCGCTAAAAAAGCCATAATCTAAATTTACCAAAGTACTCTTAAGAAAATGGCAATATCAAGGCATTCTCTTATGATGTACATATTGCCACAATAACTTTGATCAGTAATGCTATTCAGTCTTGAATATCAACAAGTAGATAATAAATAAATATAACTCTTAAATGTCTTTTTATTGTTTTGTATTTTAACAAGAATAAATCAATATGATAAATTAACATTTAGTTATTTTTAATATTTATCTGTCTATTTTTTCAGCCTATTCCTCTATGTATTCCAGAATCAAATAATCATGATCGTCTTTATCATTATCGTGTGATTATATCACCGACAACTAATTTTGTTCAACCAAACCCATCGAAAATTACTCATAATGAACATGATTATCTATTTGATGGTTTTTCACTGTTTATGCATTATAAATTAGATAAGGTAAATCTAATTCGTTGTGAATCTTGTTTTTAAATTGGTTTAATGATTAATTCATTAGTCTTTTCAAATACTATAGCACATAATTATTGTGTTTATTGCCTCTGTTGTATATTCATTTCAAAGATCATATCCCCTATTCCTCTTGCTATATCTCCCAATATCCTGAGAATACCGTATTATCAAAACTTTCTAACACCGACTAGATAATTTCGCACAGAACTGACACTGAACACTTCTTGACTTTGACGTATGATGATCCTTCACCACCTGTGGAGTATCTAACGTCCGATACAATCCTGTTGACTTATGTTTTTATAGATACTCAGTGAACAACACAATATTCGGTTAGTGGACTCGAACAGATCACTGGCTCAGATAACCTAAAATATTACAGTATTGTGCATTTATCAAGACGATCACACCTTAAAGTAATTAATTTGTAGCAGGTTACAATTTAGGAATGTAGAGTATCTCATGTAACATCAAAAAATCAAAGTTGATTGGATCGATTTTCCACCTAAACCATATTGCAGCTGATTTGTACTGTCATAAGGACTACTTAAGAATTCTACCGTTCTTAATATAACAGATCAGTCAACCCAAAGCTTTCCCTACCTATAGAATAGTCGGAGTACATTTTAATGTATACTATAATGAATACATAGCTGCTAGCGACGAAATACACTAATGCGCATGAAACCGTTACTCCACTGCGTTGCAGATTAGACTTCTAGGTGAAAGGCTCGGGAAATAGCCTAAGAAAATCACCTCACGCAAATCGAATGATGGTGTGACACATATATATTTAGCACCCCTTCATACTAATATATATGTTTTAATAAGTAAATTTAAAACCAACCTATAACAAAAACATCTACGTATAATTATAATATTTTTCTCCCTCCATATGGTCAAACTAAGTACATGTAGATCTAAACAGCTTACGAGTTATCGTTTTTATTTGGCAGATATAGTAAATTACCAAATTAAAGTAACTGATTTATTAAATACAGATTTATATACTAAACGCTACATGCACAAAGAAGATTGAGGAATCGTTCTTAGAGAAAGTTTGATCATGATGATTATGCGAAATAGGTTTTCAATGAAATGTGCAGACCGATGGTGGGGAATAAGAAACACACCAGACTTTCAACCATTATCAGGTTATTATCTATTTCAAAACTCAGTTCATAGTTGAACTATGATTGCGATTAGGAGTTTAGATTAGCGTTAGAATTCAGGTTTAAGATTGGTAGTTAAGATACAGAATATTGGTTAGAAGTTAGGAGTAAACCGAAGAACCTTGTACCTATTTATATTCGATAATTTTGTTGTTTGATTATATTTTCCTTGAAAAAGCTTGGACCAGATTGCCAGGCGAAACGTTGGATTTACTTAAAATTCATTCGCTGAGATTTTACAAATATATTCTTCTTTTTAATGTCTCAAATGAACTCGACGCCCAAATATTGTGAAACTATTCGTTTAAATTTAGACGAAAGTTCTTATTTAGTTAGGAGTAAGGGTTAAAAATAGCCAATACCTGTGGTATGATTGGTTTACCAACAAAGTATAGTTTAGAAATCCCCATATTGTGAATTAGAAGAACACATATAAGCGGACAATATTGTTTTCAATGAGGTTTTCATCAGGTTTTACTGTAATAAACAATAAAATTTATGTGCATATATGGAATTATTAAACCAATCAAGGCAGTTTATGAGTCTGTCAGTCAGTCAGCTACAACGTAGGACCAGGCACATATATGCATCAGTCCAGGTTGCCATACCTCATTAGCACAGTAAGATGAACACCGGATTCATACGAGTGGTTAGGTTAAAGGTGGTAATATATAGGAGAAAGATTGCATATAAGGATACAGTACCGGAATATAGATTTTGTTCGTAAAAAGAAAGATATGAAGTGATTTTAATCTCTTAATTTAAGGGAAGACAGAGAGTGTATGCACCGACACCATTGTGATCGATTCTCAGCCATGTCACCAAGAGTCTCCAACCATCGGTTACGAAAGTCACGCGGACCCCAACCAAGTAGTCTGCATCTACCAACATGGCTCAGACTAGAGGTTAGTGTCTTCAAGCACTGATGCCACGTTTTGGTTTGCCCGCCCCTAATTCTCTTCCAACCATCTCTAACACCCGTTAGCATTGCACGACGTGGTAATCGATGTTCAGGCATACGTAACACGTGGCCCAACCATCTCAGTCGATGAAGATTAACAACCTCATCAACTGATTTACCATCATTACCTAATACCCTGTGTCTAACCTCACTATTACTTACCCGGTGATCCCAGCAGACGCCAGTAATATTTCTAAGGCATCTGTGGTCAAATACTAGTAGCTTACGAGTGTCTTCTATTCTTAAAGGCAATGGTTCGCTGCCGTAAAGTAAGACAGAACGGACTGCCGCACAGTATACTCGTCCTTTTATTGATAGACGGATATCTCACCTTCGCCAAAGGTGACGCAATTTGGCAAAAGCCAAACGAGCTTTTCGAATCCGTGCTGAGATTTCGTTCAATACCAGCACATTAGGGCTGATCAGACTTCCAAGATGGGTGAAGTTGTCGATGCGTTATAACCACCACCATTTCAGACTTCTTATTTTAAGAACATTTACTTTTAAAAAATATGTGCCGAGAATGCTTTCAAGTAATGAAACATGGTATTGAATAAGGTCATCATTATTGTTGAAATTAACAATGGATATATCATCCACATTGTCTAGAACTAACCTATAAACATTGAAATTTCTATACTGGATGTATTATAATAATTAACATCATGACTCAATATCGATCTGACAGCTAGAATTTGATTAGTACATCAGCAATCTGATAAAGAAGGTTACAGCAGGATCGTCACTGGCTTCTATTCTGAGACACATCTGATAATGTCTCTAGCCACAGTATACTCGTCCTTTTATTGATAGACGGATATCTCACCTTCGCCAAAGGTGACGCAATTTGGCAAAAGCCAAACGAGCTTTTCGAATCCGTGCTGAGATTTCGTCCAATACCAACACATTAGGGCTGATCAGACTTCCAAGATAAGTGAAGTTGTCAACGCGTTCGACTACTTCACCCCCTATCCTTAGTTCAGGTGTCGACGCAAACCAGTCCTGAAGTAACTACTTGCATTTAGAGGGAGAGAAGCGCATTCCAAACATTCTGGCATTGTAGCTTAGTGCTACCAGAAGACTGCATTTCATCAGCGTCTTCACCGAACAGGACTATATCATCTGCGTATTCTAAGTCGATAAGTGGACCTCCTGGAAGGAGATCAATACCTGAGAATTCAGTCGACGAGAATGTTATTTCCATCAGTAGGTCTATGATGAAGTTAAACAGAAATGGAGAAAGTGGACAGCCTTGACGGACACCACTTGAGGTTGCAAAACTAGATGACAGTTCGCCATAAGCTCTCACTCGACTAGTAGTGTTCGAGTAAAGAGCCTTTACAAGGTTTATGTACTTCTGGGGTACGCCTTTTAATGACAGACACTGTCACAGAATCTCGCGGTCTACCGAGTCAAATGCTGCTTTTAAGTCAAGAAAGACCACCGTCGTCGGACGCCGATAAGTATGCCTGTGTTCTAGAACCTAACGAATGGTGAATATGCGGTCGATGCAGCCACGACCAGGTCTGAAGCCAGCTTGGCGTCTGATTATTATTGAGGCTAGTATTTTAGATACTATATTTGTTAAACTAATCCCTCTGTGGTTGTCACAAGATGATTTTGATCCTTTCTTATATATTGGGACGATAAGTGATTGTGACCATTCAGATGGAATAACATTTAACTCCCAGATCTTAGCTAAAATATTAGTCAACCTAACCGCTAAAATTGGACCACCATCCTTAAAGACTTCTGGAGCCAATCCATCTGGACCAGCTGCCCTTTCTCGTTTCAGATTAACTATAGCCTTTTGAACTTCTGCTAGAGTTGGGGGACCTACTTCAATGTTCCATTCACACTGTTTGGGAATGGAGGGTAGTTGTAGAGTCGCTGAAGGCCAGCTGAACTGTTCCCTAGTGTTCCGCCCATCGTTCTAAACGTCTGGACTGGGAGCGAATGAGAGTGTCTTCTTTTTCCGAAATTGTCTGACTTACACTTGACTTATTTATTCCAGTTCCTTTTATTAGTCTGTAGAGCCGTTTTGTGTTCCCTATAGCCGCCGCCTTTTCCATCTCTTTTGCTTTCGTTGCCCACCACTGCTCACGGTCGTTTCTTAGTGTTATAATCTCTTTCTTACAGTTATAACCCAGCTATTCCTATTGCTTAGTATTCTTGGACACCGATTCACTCGACAAGTCCCCAAATCAGAACACGGTTGAACAGGAAAGAGATTATATTCCAAATAACAAGGTTAGATGGAAGTAAGATGCAAGTCAGAAGCACAATAGGGAAAACGTCAGTATATTTATAGTTTTTACATAAGAAGATTCCAGAGTATTCTCCAACAATCGACTAGTGCTGATTGGATAAGAATTAGCCAATCAGCGTGCACCAAAGCAATCATGCATTGAGCATGCTTTAATCTAGTCTATGTCCCGCTAACACCTCCCCTCTGAGCAGATTCGTAGGATCTGGTGCTAGGGTCTAACTGCAACCGAGTGACTGGCCTGTGCTTTCGATTAGTCCATCGTCTAGGCAATAGAGAAGTATCACTCTTTTCTTGCACAGAAACTGACGTGTCTATTCCCGGCGTTTTGATTTCAAAGGTGTCTAGCAGAACATCAAGAGGTAATCGATATTGAATTTTGTTGCTGGCTATCGAAATTGCTTTCAGTTGGTTAGCATGACGTACCCAAACTTCCGAGCCAACTGACACTTTGTAAACCACACTCCCCTTCTTTTTCAAGATCCGACCAGCTGTCCATGTAGGATGTTTCCCACGATAGTCCATAGCAAGTACTTTTTGTCCCTCCGTGAACAATCGTCTTTGTGCCCCATGATGTCGGTTGAACTCT